GGCGCCTCCTGCTCCCGGCCGCCCAGGAGAGAAACACTGATTTTTCTTTTTTTTTTCTTTATTCTGACATGGAGCTGTCTGCTGATGGACCTGATGGAGAACTGCAGCAGAGGGCGGGTGAAATGCTAGTTTGCTATTGGCTATTGCAAATTGAAATAGCCAATAGGAATCTAGCAATGCATTCCTATGACCAAAAATTTTTATTTATTATTTTCTATTCTGACAAAGCAGTGTTTCTCTCCTGGGCGGCCGGGAGTGGGAGACTCCCAGAGCGCCTGGGAGAGTTAGGCTGTCTGGTGATCAGTGTCCCTGGTTAGCTGGTAGCCAGGGACGCTGATCTCTCTGCAAGTGGGCCGGAGTCAGCCGTAAGATCATGGCTGGCTCCGCCCAGCTGCCAGAAGCAGGCTATCGGTCGGCCAGCTTCGGCTTCCAGCGCGGCTCAGCCGAACCGAGGCATATGCCTTTGTCTCGCTCGGCCAAGTTCGGGAGCTGTACGGGCTATTGTGAAAAGCCTGTACAGCAGCCCTTCGGTTCTACTGAGCCGAAGGGGTCCTGGGGCCTAAGCTAGCCGAAGGATCGGCCGAAGCTATGGCTAGATCCTTCGGCTGCTTCATGAATAGACCCCTAAGGTTTTTTGTTTGTTGTTTTGGAATAGGTTTGTCACATTTTAAGGAAATGGGGGGCGTGCCCCAGAAACATGTAAACCGAGACCACACAGGGGCAGTGGACGCTGATGCTGCACATCTTTTCAGACTTCCGCTGCTAGATGATTTGACATCCCATTGTTTTCTACATGCCTTTTTACTACCAACTTCTTGTAAGTACAATACAGTTGTCGTTTTTATCATTAAAATTCGTTTTACACTATGGAGACGCTCCTTTTTGTTTTTTGCCTCTCAGATTGTCACATTTTAAGGTCAGTCGTTAAAATTACATTTCAGTTTTTGGCAGATAAACCCCTGACAATTTCTTAAATATCTGGAGGAATGTATTGTGACATCTTTGCACTTAAGTTCCTAGGTCTGCACACAGGCATTGGACATTATAGGGGGTCCGCGCTCTCCTTGTTGGAACTTGTATATTATAGAATGAGACAGGAGGAGTTGGAACATATAGGAGAAAAACTCAAACTCCCAGGTGGACAGGAACAGAGCTAAAAATTATGGCAAGGAGACATTGCTGTTGGACTGTTCAAAGCACATAAGAAATCAATCACTGACTTAGCACTATTTCTAATATCACTTTTAATGGACGAACTGTGTAAACAAGTCTATAATTATATTATTATATTTTGGGTCCTGGTAGGTGTACTTGTGTGGGGATTGTTTTTTGTGTTACCTTTTTTTTTGTTTTACTTCTTTGCTGGCATCCAGGGGGTGGTGC